TCTCTTTGCATCTGTCTTCTTCCACAAACTTTAACCTGGGCCAGACTCTAGTACGGGTACCACACCATGAAGATTGCGCAAGGAGTAGAGCAGACTGGTAGAAGAGAGGAATGACATTGATATATCATGTCTTTATTTCAGTGGGGCTCTTGACAGCTTCTAGCATGATGCCCTTACAGACAAGATGAGGACAGTTCCAGGGGGTCACTTTGTAGTTGAACAACCTTGGACCCCAGCAAGTGCTGTTTAATGTGCTTGGGTCAGCGTGGGAGTGTACCTGTAAGTCACAGACCTCAGTCTGGTCTCGTTCAGCTTCTTAGGGATATAGATGAACGTGTAAAAGGCATGCATATGAAATTCCGAGATATTGACAACTAAAGGAACAAGAATTTTTTTGGTCTCTGCAGACTTGAAATATGGATCTAAAGAATGAATATAAGACTTGGTATTTATATGAAAAGAATTACTGATGTAAGGGAAGGATGTGAAGAGCCTCGACCTGATAAAGACCTGGGGATTTAGGTACCATCATCTCTACCACCACCTCCCTGGTGTGAGCTGCCACTCTTTCTCCCCTAGATAATTCCAGAAGTTTACTGGTTTCCTGCTCCTTGTCTCCCTTCAGTCTAGACTGGACATAGCAGCCAGAGTGATCCTGTTAAAACATTTGTTAGGTGTTTTAATGAAGTTTCAGTGGTGGCCCATCTCGCCCACACTAAACACCAGGGTCCTTAACAATGGTTTGCAGGGTCCTGTTGGACCTACCGATGTCCTCTGAACTCTCTGACCTATTCTGCCGGTCTTCCCTCACCCCTGTGCCGCAGGCCACCCTGGCCTCCTTCCCCAGGCTGGACCTGTACACTTGCTGGGTCTCAACCATGAGTGCTCTTCCCCCTGACGTGTGCATGGCTTGCTCTTTCATCTCCTTCAGGTCTTTAACTGCTCAGTAACTTTCTCCGTTAGACTTTCCCCATCACAACATTTAAAAGTATTAGTACCCCTCTCTTCTTCTCTCAGTTGGTTTTGTTCCATAGCACTGATTACCATATTATTCGTTTTACTTATTAGTTTTGCTCCTCTGGCTTCCTTACTAGACTGTAAGCTCCACACAGAGGGGGAAATTTGTCTTTCGCATTCTCTACTAGATCCCCAGCACCTAGAACAGCGTCTGGCTCAGAGTAGGCGGGCACTCAATGAATGTTTGTTGGATGTATGTTTAAACCATAAATTAATGAATATGAGATAAGAGCAGAGTTCAGCTGATATAAAAGCTAGTGTGATCTTGGACCTCCTGCAATCTTGGGCCTCATGCAGTGTCCACATATATAAAGAAAGAGATTTATTGTCAGGAATTGGCTCGTGTGATTATCGAGGCTAGCAAGTCCAAAATCTGCAGAGCTGATGTCCCAGTTTGAGTCCCAGTGCCAGCAGGCTGCTATAGAACCAGGAAGAGCCGATGTCCTCAGGCAGGAGAATTCTCTCTTACTCAGGGGAAGGTCAGCCTTTTGTTCTATTCAAGCCTTTAAGTGATTGGATAAGGCCCACACAAGTTAAGAAGGACAGTTGGTTTTACTTAGTCTACCAATTTAAATGTTAATCTCCTCCAAAAACACCCTCACAGGAATACTCAGAATAGTGTTTGACCAAATACATGGGCACCCCATGGTCCAGTCAAGTTGATGTAAAATTAACCATCACGGTACATTTGTCAGACCACACCCAAAACCCTGAGCCTTGTCCTGGGCACCACATTTCAGAGACTATGCTGGTGAAGAGCCGACAACCATGGTCTCTAGGGAGGAGTTGAGGGGGCTGGAGGTATTGCCCTGCAGAAGTGAAGTCGTGGTCAGGCTCTAGTGACATCTTCAAATGTTTGAAGGCTTGTCTCATGGAGGAAAGAGGAAGGAAGTCTTTGGTCTGGAAGGCACAGCTCAGACAAGCAGATAGAAGGTAAGAACAGAAATCTTCTGCCTTGGTAGCTAGCAAGGTCTTCTTTCTGGAAGGGTTCAAGCAGAGGCCATCTGTGACCAGGAGTCAGAAGTCTCCTGTTCTGATCTTGCCCTGGTCTGATTCTCTGACCTTTTAGGCCATTTGCTTCACGGAGGTTTCCTCCTCTCTACCGTGGAAATCACAGTAGCCTACCTCACAGGTCATCCTGAGGGTCAGATGGAAATAACAATACCTTCTAAAACTCAATGGGGATTGAGGGGTCTTTGTCGGCCTCCAGCTTTGTCAGAACTGGGAGAGCTGGTGATCAGGAGTGCTGACTAACCTCTTGCTGCAGCAGAAAATTTCCACTGACCTGCAGTCAGGGACACTTCACTGCCGCCCTGGCAGCTTTGCTTTCTTCTTATTGGAATGTGCCTGAGGAGTGGCAGTTAACTCCTTTTCCAAATTCCTCAGCCCTGAGTGTATGATCCTTGTTGCTGCTGGCCCAGGAGAAGACAGACTTGAGCAGGGTTGATGGTGCATGGAGGGATCAGCCAAGAGTTGCCCCTTCTTGAAGAATCAGCTATACTATGGTAGCATTTTTCAGTTACTTCAGGATACATTCAGAAATTTCTCCCTATTTCTTCTCTTATTTATACTGTTCACATTCTTGCCTCTGGAATGCACCAGGCTGATAGATCCCACCTTCCACTCTGCAGAAATGTACTCTATATATAACGTATTTCAAACCTAATTGTTTTATTTTATGCTGTAACTTGAATGAGGATGAAAGGGTCAGAACATCCAGGGATGCTTGCCCTAACATTCACAACTGTGCTGGCAGTGGGACAAAGGCCTTTGGACTGTTGTGGGTTTTTTTCGGAGACTGGCTTGATAAAAAGGACTTTTTTGCACAAGTGTTTTTCAATGAAAAGAAAGTTTTTACTACAGTGCTTATCAGAAAATCAGATAAACATTGTTTGAAGTTCAGTGTTGCTGAGTAGCTAAGCCTCAGAGGATTTATACATAGGTTGGTGTGGTTGTGGTTTGGCAGGTAAAGGGCACAGGAGCTTTTTCTTATGTAGGTGATGTCAAAACAAGGTCAAAGCTAAACAGTCCCCACTGGTTCTGCTTATAACTGGCATCGGGACAGTTAGCAAATGTCATTACCACACTTGATAGCACTTCGTGGGGCCTGATACATAATAGGTGACAGTGAATAGTAACTATTGTTAGTGGTCATAGTTTATGTCCAGCTTATTAATGAAGAGTTCTGGGCCTCCCAAGCCAATACAAACCAAAAAGATTCTCTTATTCTTTATTAAGTACTAAATAGCCTGATTTCTAGTGTAGAAAGGGCTGTCAATTTCGGGATCCAGTTTGGGGATCTGGTATATGTTTGAGTGGTGGTAACATTTGGTCAGTCCAAAGTGTAGACTAGGATTTCTCAGTCATATTACTATTGACATTTTGGATAATTCTTTATTGTGGAGGCTGCCCTGTGCATTGAAGGATGTTTAGCAGCATCCTTGGCCTCTAGCCGCTAGCTGCCAGTAGCTCTTCCCTCCCAGTTGTGACAATCAAAATGTTTCCAGACATTGCCAAAAGTCCCCTGGGAGAAAAAACCACCCCTGGGTAAGAATCACTGGTGTAAAGGAAGCTGTGAGATGCCCACACTAGGCCTGACCTATAACAGTGTTTTTCAAATCTAACACCCAGGGAGCTTTAAAGTATTTCGATGCCTGGGGCCCGCCCCAAAGATTTTAATTGGTCTGGGATGTGGCCTGGTCCTCAGGCTCTTAGGTGCTTCTGGTTTTCAGCCAAGAGGGAGACCACAGCATTAGTAGTAGGTCATGGAATCAATTCAGTGAAATACTTCTTTGCTAGCATTTAAAAAATATATGTATATATAATTGAATAGAAAATATTAATGCCTAGCACAATAGTTAGGGTAAGTACTATTTTGTATGTGTGTTAAAGTTGAAAATGCTGCTATAAGCGATAGAACCATAAACAGAATCCCTGCCCTGGGGCTGCTTGTAGTCTGGCTGTTTATATCCTCTTCAGAAATGGCTTGCTTTTTGTCAGTGGTAAATAGTTAATGTGAAACTTAATACAAGACATTTATAGTTCTATGACTTGGGAATTGTGAGCCTTTTTGCTCACATTTTGAGGTTTCAACCTGACATTGAGAAAATCTGTTATTTTATAAATGCAAGCCAATAAAGATGACATACATATTTTCACCATCAACTAAATTTGATTATAGTACAGCAACAAGATGATAATTTTCCTCATTTGTGTGTGTTAATTATGTATACCATGATTTGCTAAGTCAGCGATGGTCTAAATACCTCCAGCAAGAATGTGGGACTTGCATAAATCATCCTGAAAGCTTTATTAGGATCCGCCTAACAGCCTCTTGACTTCATTATCTATGGGAATTTGGGGGCCTTATTACAAAATAAACTGTAATATGGATTCATCTGAGTGCTAGGAGGTAGTGTGATGTGGCAGAAGACTGGCAACCTCTGGCCGTTCTTTTTATCTCAGAGCTCAGGAGAACCTAAACCAAAGGGACTCTGGCTGTGTCCCTGTGGTGGTGACACTGCAGCTGTGGAAGACCTGGAAGTCAAGTTCGCTTGCTAGCAGGACTTTGGGATCTCTTGCCCTGATCCTGAAGCCCATTATAAGCCCGCGACAGCACTCGCCAAGGCTTCCCGCTTGACTTGAAACACATTACTTGAAAGGTTGGCCTTCAATTTAGATATCTGGAAAATAGCAGTGATAATTCTTACGATTACTCACAACGCAGTCTGCAGTCTCTCATGACAACGTTCTTTAAAAATTCAAAGGGATGTCCTGCGCTGTTGGTAGTTTTGTCATTACCTGGGAGAAGTACCCTTGGGTTTATTTCTTGAGTCAGCTGCTGAAAAAAAGATGCTCTGCCTGTATAACAAAGGGAAGAGGTTGGATTGACAAATATCCATAAGATGTCTGATAAACGCCTTCTCTATGATTTAGCTCCGGGTGACTATGCCACATTAAATATATGATTTTATTTCCTCTAGGTGTCTGAGGGTTCTGTGGTCCAATTTTCATCAGGAAACTTCTCCTTGTCAGCAGAAACAGAAGAAAGGAGCTTCCCCCATGGAAATGAACATCTGTTAAATTGGGCCCGCAAGGAGTATGGAGCGGTTACTTCATTCACCGAACTCAAGATAGCAAGAAACATTTATATTAAAGTGGGGGAAGGTAAATTTTACCTGGTTTCAATTAATGACTGATTTACGACAGTCAGTTGTTTTCTTTTCTGAGACCAGGTGGTTAGGGAGGAATCATAGAATTACCGACTGTTGGAGCTGGCAGGGACCTGAGGGATCGTTGGGACCTGCTTCCCCCCACATCCCCTCCTTCCCTTTTTCCTTCTGAGGAAACAGACCTGGTAATGGCCAAGTGAGAAATGGGGTATAGCGTGGTTGAGAGAGAAGGAGGTTTTGGTGTAGGATTTAGAAAACATCCACGCACAGAAGTCAGAAGAAGTGAGTAGAGGACAGGAAGCCGAGGGTGTGGGAACGGAGGTGGTAACTGATGGAATGAAGCAGGAGTTGGCAGGATGGGTCAACAGTTATTATTCAACAGAATAATAACAGAGCTATTATTCTGTAAACACTTGAAGCCAATGTCAGTTTATGGTCTTGTGACATCAGTTAAATTTTAGACAGTAGCAGAGGAAAAGTGTTTGAATATATTTTTAACACTAATGCCTGTTACAAGGACAAATTATTAGAGAAAGGAACTGTGTGACCTTGATAAGAGATTGCCTATTTTAATTTCCTTGCCTTGTAGAGAGATATAAATATCCGGTGATTCAATTTTGAAAGTGTATTACTTTTTTAGTAACTTCTGTATCATTATTTTTAGTTGAATATGTTTGGAGCCCCCATAAGTTGCTAGAAATAACAACTCTTGTGAATAGGTCCTTGTTATAGTCAGGTGATTGTGTGAAGACTGCATTTCAGGTTTTCAGGGTCCATCTGCTGGATTCTACAGCAGTTGTCGCCTGCTCCACAGACAGCGTGGCAGTGCAGAGTGGGTTACGGAATGCTTGTTCCAGCCGTTGTTTGGATCCGGGCTCTTGGTCAGATGCAGGAAAGGTGGATACTGATGTTGAGTGTGTGATTCGTGCAGAGGCCATATCAAGTGCTTTCACACGCACCCTCCTAAACTCTGCCAGTAATCTTAGGAGGAAACCATTATTTCCACCATTTTACAGAGGGGTTAGTGGAGGGTTGAGCTAACTTGCTTAAATCCGCATTACTAGCAAGTGGCAAAGCCAGAACTCAAACCCAGGTTTCCTGGCTCTTGAGTCTAATGCCTGATGCTGTATTTTAAGTCTTAGCCAAATAAGCATAACATAAACAAGAAAGTGGGCCACCTGGGTGGAAAGACTTGTTTAGCAGAGTAGAGAGAAGAGGAGTTTTAGACGAAAATTGGATTCAGAAAGTTGAAGTCTGTTACTAAACTCTCATGGTAGTCAGGTAGCTAATAATAGAGGTCAAGTCCCATTGGAACAAAATGAAAAATCTCTTTTAATAAAGGATCTAAGCCCTGGCCAATGGTCTGCATTTCTGAAGCTGAATTCTAGTAGCATGCAAGAATGTTGATTACCCCCTTGGAATTTGTTAGAATAAGAAAACATGTTATAGTAACATTTAGAATGTTGGGCTCTGTTCTCTTGACTGCGCATGAGCTTCTAGGAACAGCTGTTGCCTGCCCTGAGAGTGAACGGTTAAGTGACTTCCCCAAAGCCACACTCTAGGTTGGGGAGAAACTTAAAGGACCCGGTGTCCAGTCTAGTAAAAACTGGTTATCTCCTTGGTAACAGCTTTGGAGCCCCTGAAACTTGACTCCAGCCACCAGTTGGCTATAAGTCATTGGCCCACACCATGGGGAGGAGCAGTTGGGGGAAGTGAGGGTCCTTGGTTGGGTCGGTGGACCACAAGGCAATGTTGTTTATCATCATGGATCAGACTCCACTGAGCAAGCTTCATCCACTAGCTTCCCAGAACCTGACCTGTCTCTACCCAACTTGTACCCAGGGATCCCAGGCCATGAGCTTCCTCTTGCTCTATTCCCAGTGGTTCTCAAAGTGTGGTCCCCACCCCCCAGCAGCATCCTCATACCTGGGAACTCATTAGAAATGCAAGTTCTTGGGCCCACCCCAGACCAACTGGGGTGGTTGGTCAGAATCAGAAATTCTGGGGGTGGGATCCAGCCATCTGTGTTTTAACAAGCCCTCCAGATGATTCCGATGCTTGCTAACATCTGAGAACTACTGCTCTAAGCTGTATACCTAGGGTGGAAGAATTGAGGAGTTTTGGTTCTTATCCCAACTGGTCTTATTAACTGTGAGGCTTCAAGCAACGCTCTGATTTACCACTGGAGCCTCAGTTTCCACCACAGTAAAATGAGGAGTTTGCATTACCTCACAGGCTCTCTGAGTATATTATTCTAGATCTCAAAGTCATTTGTCAATCCTTTCCTAAAATACAAATAAGCATGTGACTTTTTTCCCCCCAAACTTGCCAGGTTTCTACCCGGGGATTCCCCTTTGTGGTTTCCTTTCTACTTGGCAGTTGGTGTAAGTTTTGATGCCAGGCACGCTGGAGGTCATTTAGGGGGAAAACGCCACACGCACACATGCACACACGACAAAAAGTGATCAGCCTATTCAACTTAGTGACAATGGCTTCTAGGACTTGAGCCCTTAATAACAGCAACTTGTAAACAATTAAACTTTCCCTAGTGGCTTAGGAGGGCCACAACGTGGGTAAGTTTTTCGGTATTTGTCTCAAATCTCACATCAACGTTTGTTAATTCAGGAAACCTATACCATGTGCTACTATATGCCGGGTGTAAACCAGCCACATCTAGGAACTGGGTATAGGCCAGAGTCCCAGGAGGGTCCTAGTCTCTTGAGTTCCAGACCAGTCTGTCCCTGGCCCATGCACACAGCCTCTGATTCTTGATTAAATTTCTGCCTTCTCACTCCGATGTCATTTTCCATCCTATGATCTGGGGGAGGCATCCGCAGGGCCGCAGCTGTAGGGTGTGCGTTCCTCATCTGCTCATCTGGCAAAACCCTCAGCAGATGTGGAGGGGAGGCTGCTCCAGCAGCCTGAGTCGGCGGAGCCCTGGCCTCTTCTCTCTGAGGGGGTCTTTAGGGAACAATGCAGAGTGCAGAGCCAGCGCTCTCTTGCAACAAGCCTACAGCAGGGTCCTCGTGAGCTCCTCTGGTCCCCTCTGTTCTAAGGGTGGTGCTGGAGGTGCCATGGTGTGCAGAGCCATGACACCACAGTGTGTGCTGTGGACTTCAGCACAAGGGGGGTTGCACAAGTTGGGCAGGGGCGGGGGAGGGCAGTACTAACCCAATCTTGAGACCTCCTGGCCAGATTCCTCACTCCTGAGTGAGGCTCACTTGTGGATTTGAACTCTGGCATCATATCCATTAAATGAAAAAGGCAGAAGTCTATTTCATTAAAGTGCCAGGGCTCTGATTAATTACCCCTTCTGAAAAAAAGGTTGCTACACCTAGAACTTCCTTGACATTGGTCCCAGCTGTCACACTGCCAGCAGTTTCAAGTTCTGTTTAAACATTTAAACCACTGGATGGAAATCCCATCAACCACAGTGCTGTGTCAATGGCATATGCCGGTGGGGGAGTATCTTCAGACTCTTGGTACTTGCATCACTTTCCCTGGTGGAGGTGATGAGCAGCCCTCGGCACAATGACATAATGTTTGTGAAAGCACCTTGTAAACTGTAAGGTGCCATACAAACATTAGTCGTCTGTGTCAAGATTGTGAGAAAGTGAGTCTGCCCTCACTGTTTCCCCCAAAACTTCAGTCTTGAGAGTATAAAATCCTGTGAGGAATAAATAGGAGGGAATGATTAATTCTACCTGGTGGGCCAGAGAACTAGTTAGTTGGCTGGTTCTCCTATTAACTGAAGTAGCAAATATCCAAGGAGGACCATATTTGGGGATAGGACAGATAATTGGATTCAGTGTTAAGTATGCTGACTGTGAAATATCTGTGGATTCTTAGGTGGGAGGTGCTTGGTGGACAGATGACAGTACAGGTCTGCAGCTCAGAAAGGGAGTCATGATCAGGGTACCAGTTGAAGCTGTGGGAGTGATTGAGATCATCTAGGAAGAATATGAGACAAAAGATGATTGAGGAAGGAACTGAGGTTCTTAGTCTTGGTTTATATCAGGATCAGTTATGGAACTTTTCAAAAAGAAAGCTTCCGAGGCCCCACCTTGATCTTCTGAATCAGACTCTCTGGGATGAGGTCCAAACAGGTGGATTCTGATGTGCTCCAAAGATTGAGGACCACTGGTGTTTAAAGGATGAGCAGAGGAAGAGAAGCCAGTGAAAGAGACTGAAAGGTAGAGGAAATGGATGAGGCTGAAGAAGTATCACAGAGAACAGGAAACAGAGCATTTAGACCAAAAGAGGCCGCTAGAGTTGGTCAGTAGGAGGTTGCTGGTGACTGTAGGGGGACATTTCAGGGCTGTGGTCGAGGCATTCTAAGGCCCTTCCTTAGGCTTGTCGTTCCGTGTGTTCCCTGTATCCTGTACCTGCTCAGTGTCAGCATCACGCTCTTTCCTTTGCGTCTGGTTACCCTGTAGCTCAGTGGTCTGACAGATTGTCTTGTGCTACTTTGCTTTCAGATCAAGTGTTCCCTCCCACGTGCAACATAGGGAAGAACTTTCTCTCACTCAATTACCTTGCCGAGTACCTTCAGCCCAAAGCAGCAGAAGGGTGTGTGATAGCCAGCCAGCCCCAGGATAAGGAAGTTCACATCATCGAGTTAATCACTCCAAACTCAAACCCTTACAGGTGAGTGAGTGTGTGTGTGTTTGTGTGTGTGTGTGTTCTAAACTGAAGAGAAGAAAATAAAGATCTTCCCTGACTTGAGGCGGGGAGACAGTGCAGCACCCGCTGCGCAGGAGGGAGGGAGGGAGCCATCGATGCTTTGGGTCAGGCTCACAGAAGCTTTGAAGAAAGGAGTCAAGGCGCCAGTGGTGTATTTTATTTTATTTTTGCATCTGGCTCTGGATCCCCTATTTGCAGATGAGCTCCCGAAGCCTGTTCTGAATTTCTCAGGACTGATTATAGGACACAGTCACTCATGCTCCATCAATGTCTCCTTTGACTGAGGTTATCCCTGATAAGAAAATTACAAAATGTGCCTTGTTAACATAATTATCATTTTAATAACATTCTGTTTTTAATAAAATTCTGTTCATAGTGTGCTCAGAACACTTGCACTCATGACTGTTTACTTTAATGCTGTGTGTACGCACTTGTGTGTGTATTGGGGGTGTGGCCCTTCATGATGACACACGAAAGAGCCATTAGATACAACTTGCCTCTCCCTGTGTTCTTGTTCACCCTCTCCCACCCTCAGCTTCCTGCCCAGGGACTGGAAATTTAACCCTCCCTATTAAGAATGATTAGGGAATTGAAAAGAGGGGGAGGAAGTAGGCCCTTCTCCCCTTTAGCCTGCATTTCCTGTGGACTAGTGACTTAAAATGTAAATTTATATTGTAGAGGGATTTCAAAGTTAAAATTCTAATCAAATTTTGATTTCAAAAGTGAATAAACTACAGATCAGTTTTGGTAAGATTCCATTCTGTCCCACATGGAGAATTTTGTGGAAAATTAAAAGGGAATGGGAATAGGAGCAATCTGGCAAATGTGCTTAGATATTAAGCCTACGGCTTCATTCGAGTATATCGTTCATTTTATGCTTTACAAGTGTGTAAAACCAAGATGGAAAGAAAGATTTTCCTTTAAATTCAGAATGACAGAGGTTATTGTTTGGTAAAAATTCCCTTTTATGCTGAATTCTTAGAAGTTTGGGTTGTGTTCATTAATTTTCCAGTAATCACTTGGTTGACCATCTGTTTCTTTATTTTAATAACTGTATATCCAGAAGTTTGGGAAAGTAAATGCAGGTATTCTGTAGCAAATGTTAATGGCTTAAGCAAACCTATATATGTCAAAAAATTCTCCAGCCATTTGCCTCTCATTTTATTCTAAAGTTTCCTAATTTTTTCACTGCTGTGCCTCCCTACTCACCAAACTGCTGCCCACTTCTGGTTTTGAAGGATTTTGAACATATTGCAAGTTGGATAGTTACACATGGAGGGTGTTGAAGGTAGAAAAAGCAACAATTCTGCTTCAAAAGTAGACTCTTCTGTTTGTTCAAGTCCATTTCAAATAGTGGCTGTGTTAAATAACCACCTATTGTTGCCCCCTGCCCACAAAGAAGAGAAAAATTTTAGTGGCTCATTAGCAGCAAGCGTATTTTTCTATTGTTATGTAAAACCATTTTGTTATGTGTGCACTTACAATCTGTTTTGCACATGTCATTTGCCTGGGATCAACTCCAGTTTTTTAATCAACTGGCCAGACACTGGAAACACGAAGACTTGGAAGAGAGGAGATAGTTGCAACTTTTTGCCATTTGGGTCCTAACTCTGCCTTTGTTTTCCATTCCCAGTGCTTTCCAGGTGGATATAATAATTGACATTAGACCTTCTCGAAAGGATCCTGAGGTGGTCAAAAATCTCATCCTGATCTTGAAGTGCAAAAAGTCTGTCAACTGGGTGATCAAATCTTTTGATGTTAAGGGAAACCTGAAAGTTATTGTAAGTTGGTTGAGCATTTCTTTGTTTGGGTGAAGGGCAGTAATTTAAGCTGTGCTTATGTATGTTATTTTTGTCAAGTTTCTGCCTCTTTGGACTCTGAGCTCTCTCAATTACTTTTCGCTTTGTAAAATAGGCTGCTCCTTGCTTTCTCTTGACAAAGGTAGACAGTGTGGTGGTTAAAAGCATGGCCTCTGGGGTCAAGACAGACCTGATTTGAGTCCAGACTTGGCCATGTACAAACTGTGACCTTGGACAAGTCCTTTAACCTCTAGACCCCAGTTGCCTCATTTGTGAAATTCTTAAAATGTATTAGTGTACTTTCCAGTCCTAGTAAGTGTAAAATAATGAACACAATGAAGGCTTTCATGTTGAGAGTCCTGTGAGGGCCTCAGTATCATGGTCCTGATTATCAGCTCTCACTTTGGGGTTAGGTATTTAGGGAAGGTGTGGGAAATTAGGCTGACCCCAGCTCATACTGTTGACTTTTCTTTTAGAGATAAATACATAGTATTGGCTTGTCTTTTCACTTGCTTCTAACTTCTAAGGGTAACACACTGATAAAAGAATCACAGTGCCGTTATGGAGAGGTTAGTGAGATGATGCAAGAAAATTACCCCCCAGCCTGTTTCCTAAGCATTATGTTTCATGAAGGAAATATATGTAAGAGGCTTAGTTGTTTGGCATGATAGGCAAATAGCAGCTAGTTTCCTGAAAAGTTGAATGCTGAAATTTGGTAAAATAGATCTTTTTCAAATATGTTTAGGGAGATAACTGTTTGACCGAACATTGGTGTGAATTACATTGAAAGTTAAAGAAAAATCCATCCCCTCATTTTTTTTTTAATTATTTTTTTTTGGTGAGGAAGATTAGCCCTGAGCTAACATCTGTTGCCAATCCTCCTCTCTTTTGCTGAG